CATTATTATCATTATCACTATCATTATTATTATCATCATTTTTTATAACAATCATTATCATTATTATCATTATCACTATCATTATTATTATCATCATTTTTTATAACAATCATTGCCATTATTATAACTATCATCATCATTATTATTATCATCATTTTTTATAACAATCATTATCATTATTATCATTATCACTATCATTATTATCATTATCATTAATTTTCATTACTAGTGCTACTACTACTATCCTTATTATTATTATAAGGCGAAGTAGAATAATGAGTAATAAAAAGAATAACACTACAATGAATGAAGGGGAAGAAAACAGATTTGGTGACTAACAGCTGATTAGTAACAATAGTCAAACCCACTGAAGCCGAAAACATCTGTTATATTAGCTGTTGACATTCACTTAGCGGAAACTGTTTACTCAAACCCGTTCGTCCGCGATTGGCGACCAAATGCAATCGGTCTATTCAATAAATAATAAAGATAATAAAGATGATGATAATATTAATAATAATAATTATGATAGTAATGATAATAATAAGAATGTTAATGATAATGATCATAATAATAATGATAATAATAATAATAGTAATAATAATAATAGTAATAATGATAATAATAACAATAATAATAACAATAAAATAAAATAAATAATAATAATTATAATAATAATAATAATAACAATAACAATAATCATAATAATAATAATAACAGTAATAATGATAATAACAATAACAAATAATCATAATAATACAATAACATGAAATATAAATCAATACAGTAGGCTGAACTCAATTTCCGGGATTCGCTAAAACCAGTCGCTGCATTTCCGGGATTCGCTTCCAAGCAAGTAAAAGTGAAACCAGTACCTTACTCACCTGGGATATCCTTACGTCTTCGCTCCCCCCTCCCCCCCTCCCTCCCTCCCTATCCCCTTGCCGTTCGTCTGTTCGTCTGAAAGTTCCGGCACCGGTTCAGTCAGTAATAGTAATATCAATATCAAGAGCAGTGATTATCATAATAATAATGGTGATGGTGATGGTGAAAATGATGATGATGGTGATGATGATGATGACGGTGATGATGATGGTGATGGAGATGGTGATGATGATAATGAAAATAATACTAATGATGATGATAATATTAAAAGAAAACCAATGTAAATGATTAAAATGATAATGAATCAATCAAAAAAGGAGGATTGTTAAAAAGAGAAGAGATGACCAAGTGGCGATAATCAGCGGCCTACCCCAAACACATGTCTCTTAACCGCCGGAGCCCATTACGTGTCTAGCAGACGCCTGGTGATGTAACCAGCCGTCCGCTAAAGTCGTTACGGCATCGTGCCAGACACAACAAGTTTGCTGCAAGGACGTTCCTTCACTTCACTTTCATTCCGATTGAAAGGGAAAAATAGTGAGGAAGACAATGGGAGGCATAAATTCTATGAGAGAAAGAACCGGTGGGTTTTAAAAAAATGAGAGAAGAAAAAATGTGACAATGGAAAATGGAATCCTACGGCTGGCAAATTGGAGGAAAATAATACACAAAAAATAAGCAACGCCAGGTGGCTCGTGGTACCATTTGTCTATCGCGAGACACTCACGTCAGCGTGTATAATTTGCTTGTTAAATAACTGTCTATCGTACTACTCAACAGATGGGCAATTTGCATAAATGCGCAAGTACACTGGAAGAGAAAGGATGAGCGGATAAAAGGGGAAGATAAAAAAGAACAAAACATTTCGTTAACATCACCAGACAATCGACGAAGTTGAAAAAAAAGTGAAGGTTCAACAGCCATTTTGTCAGAAGCGACCTTCACCCCCCATCCCCCTCCCGACACCCAACCCACGCCCGATTATCTTACACCAAACGTCCCATTGTTTCAAACTCAACAGTTACATAAGGCTAGAGGTGTTGGGGTTAACCAAACGCGGGTGTTGCGAATGCCATTCTATTTTCGATCTCATGTCTCCCTTTGAAATAATGGCACACGTCCATCAAAGTGGCTCAGACTTGTGCTACAAAATCAATACCCGTTCCTGGAAATATATATCCATTTGGTCTGAAATGTATTATATATTTTTATTACGCATTATGTGTTTAGGAACGAAAATCACAACATGTGGCGGCGTCTACTCTATTTCCTAAATGTTTGCTTCCTGTTAGTATTTCAAGACCCTGTCTGTGAGATCCGATTTTCAATTGTTTTGCGTTTTTTACGTGGTCTTGAAATTCAGTTTCTGTATTGTTGCACGCTTGGAGTCTGTACGTGCGTGTGTTTCATTGAGAGTGAGAGATAATTGTGATAATCATGCACTGAATGTCAAGCAGAGAACAAACTTGAATAGTATAACATTAAAGAAATCGTAAATAATATGACTTCTCTCTAAAGACTACCTCTGCTTCTACATACTCGAAAATCGTCACCCAAAAATGTGGATAACATATTCCAGGTGGATTCCGAAACTGTTGTCTCATTTTTAATAAAT